AATCCTCCCCTAAAAAGAGGAACCCTCATACACTTTTGCTGGGAATATAAACTGGGCAAGCAACCACTATGGAGAACAGTTAGAGGTTCCTCAAAAAGCTAAAAACAGAACTACCATATGACCTAGCAATTCTACTACTGGGTATACACCCAAAAGAGGAGATCCAGTATATCAAAAAGATACCTGGCACTCCCATGTTTGTCACAGCACTATGCACAATAGCCAAGATTTGCAATCAACCTAACTGTCTATCAACAGATGCTTAGGATCAACTGTGATATATATACACAATGGAATATTATACATAGTGTAGCCACAAAAAAAAGGAAGGAAATCCTGCCATTTAAAACAACCTGATGGAAATGGAGAATATTATGTTAAGTGAAATAAGCTGAGCACAGAAAGACAATTTTTTTGGGGGGGAGAGACAAGTTTTACTTTGTTGCCCTCAGTAGAGTGTCATGGTGTCACAGCTCACAGTAACCTCAAACTCTTGAGCTCAAGCAATTCTCTTGCCTCAGACTCCCAAGTAGCTGGGATTACAGGCGCCCGCCACATCACCCAGCTATTTTTAGAGATAGGGTCTCACTCTTGCTCAGGCTGATCTCAAACCCATGAGCTCAGGCAATCCACCCACCTCAGCCTCTCAGAGTGTTTGGATTACAGGTGTGAGCTACTGTGCCTGGACAGCAAGACAAATCTTACAGGTTCTCACTCATATATTGGAGCTAAATATCAAAAACAAACGATCGCATGGAAACAATAGAATGATGGTTACCAGAGGATGGAAAAGGCAGCAGGGCAGTACAACAAAGTGACTCTAATCAAGAATAAGTTAGGGTATACTTTAAAATAACAGTAACAGTGGAATTGGAATGTCCCTAATACAAAGAGATGTTAAATGCCTGACGTGATGGATATCCCAATTACCCTGATTTGATTAATTCACATTGTATGCTTGTATCAAAACATATGTACACATGTATCTTTATGTATATACATACAACTATTATGTATGTACCCATAATTTAAAATAAAAAAATTTTTAAATCCTGATAACTTCCCATTATAGGTATTGTCCTATTTTGCTAGAAAATTTCTCAAAAATCTATACATACTTACTGTCTTCATTTCCTTCATTTCCTGAACTCACTCATGTTTCCCTTACTACCACTCCACAGAAGCTTTCTTACTGAGGTCACCAATGATCTCCACACTGCCCAAACCAATTATTAATTCTCAGCCCTTATTGTATTTGACTTATTGGCAGCATCTGACACAGCTGATCACTTTCTCCTCCCTGACACATTTTCCATCCTTGACCTCCCAGAGACACCACTCACACTTGGTTTTCCTCCTTCACTTGTCCTCCTTTAGTGCCTCCTCTGCAAATGCTCATCTTTATTCTGATTTCATTCTTTCTTTTTTTTTTTTTTTTGAGACAGAGTCTGAAGCTGTTGCCCTTGGTAGAGTGCCATGGCATCAAAGCTCACAGCAACCTCCAACTCTTTGGCTCAAGCAATCCTCTTACCTCAGTTTTTCCATTTTTAATAGAGACGAGGTGGGGCTCACTTTTTGCTCAGGTTGTTCTCAAACTCTTCAACTCAGGCAATCCACCCACCTTGGCCTCCATTTGTTTTTGTTTTCCAGACAGAGTCTCACTTTGTGCCACCCAATCCTGCCACCCCACCACCCCAATAGAGTGCTGTCACATCATAGCTCACAGCAACCTCAGACTCCTGGGCGCAAGTGATTCTCTTCCCTCAGCCTCCCAAGTAGCTGGGACTATAGGCGCCCACCACAACGTCCAGCTATTTTTAGAGGTGGGGTCTCACTCTAGCTCAGGTTGGTCTCAAACCTGTGAGTTCAGGCAATCCGCTCACCTTGGCCTACCAGAGTGCCAGGATTACAGACGTGAGCCACCACGCCCAGCCTATTCTGACTTCTTAAAAGGTGGCTTGCCCAAGGGCTTAACCCTTGAAACTCTTCTCTGGTCTATCTTTATTTTATTCCCTAGGCAACCATTCTCTATTTATATTTTAAGCATGATATCTAGATAGATAGATAGATAGATAGATAGACAGATATACATATACCAATAAAGCCCATATTTCTATCTCAAGTCTGATGCCAAATTCATATATCCATCCAGCAGCCCATGTGAAATCTCCGTTTGGATACCTACAAGGCATCTCAACATGAACAAGATGAAAACCAAACCCTAGATTCTGCATAAACACTTCAAATTCCACTCCACATTTCATTTGTCTTCCCCTTATCAGTATAAAGGTAATTCCATCCTTCCAATTTCACAGGCCAAAACTTAAAAGAAATCATCCTTGGCTATTCTTCTCCCTCTCTTGTTGGTTCAACCTTTGAAATATGTCCAGAACACACTGCTTCTCATCACCTCAACCTCAAGCCCCCAGTCCAAATTAGTATACCATCTCTTTTCTGAAATATCGTACAATAATGATAAGCCTACTAACCAGGACCTCCCTGTTTCCACAAAATACAATGCCCATATCGCAACAAGAACAATCGTTTTCAAACCTCACATTATATCCCTCTACTGCTTAAAACATGTCATGACTTACCACGCCACCCATGATAAAAATCAAAGTTCTTATGACGGCCTACAAGCCCTTCTGCCACCTGTCTCATCCACTCCTCTTCTTGTACATTCCATTCCAGTTGCACTGGCCTCCTCGCTTTTCCTGAGATGCTAAGCTAGTGGTTCTCAACCCGTGGGTCATGATCCACGGGAAGTGTATTAAAGGGTCGTGGCATTAGGAAGGTTGAGAAAGAGTGCACTAAGCATACTCCTGCCAGAAACTTGTGTATCTGCACAGCCTGCTCTCCCATATCTTTTAGACGCAAATGTTACTTTACCAGGAAATCCTTTTCTTACTATCCTATATAAACTAACTACTCCCACCCATATTATTGTCAGTCCTCTATCTTTATTTTTCTTCTTAGCACCCATTAGCACCTGACTTAAAATATAATCATTTAACTGT